CGAGTCACCCGAGGTCAGGAGTTCAAGACCAGCCTGGCCAACATGGTGAAACCCCGTCTCTACTAAAAATACAAAAATTTAGCTGGGTGTGGTGGTGGGTGCCTGTAATCCCAGCTACTCATGAGGCCAAGGCAGGAGAATCATTTGAACAAGGAGGTGGAGGTTGCAGTGAGCCAAAATCGCACCATTGCACTCCAGCTGGTGCAACAAGAGCAAGACTCTGTCTAAAAAAAAAAGAAAACAAAAACGAAAAAAAGAGAAAAGAAATGCACATTTTCAGGCCCCATCCCTGACCCTCCATGAGATTCTCATGTTTGCTAAACATTGAGAACCACTACCCTAAGTGTAAGCTGTGGGTAGCAGCCTGGACCCCATATATTGCTCACCCTCCATTCCCATTACTAGCAGAGTGCAGACTTGAAGAAGGGGCTCAAAACACCTTTGTTAAATGAATGAGTGACAGCACAATTTGACTATATTCCTGTCAGGAGCTCCCATGTCGTTTGAAAACTAGATAAAAGGAGCAAAACAAACCAAAAACCCCAAACTCAAATTTTACTTTATTTTTTCTGACCTTCTAAGGTTTATGCATAAAATACAAAAAAAAAGGTACATGAATAGAACAACTACTTCTCTATTTCTTCAATTTAGAATGTATCTAAACATACTTGTCAAGTGAACAAGTATCATTCTATCATTTTCATTTTAGGACTGTAAAGTGAGCTGATCGAAGGCTATAGTTTAACTCCATTTCCACAGGGGCAGACAAAATAGAATTCTATTGCCTCTTCTCCCATTTCTAAAATCTAGAATCACACTTTGAATAAGGATGTAGTGGAATACCTAAGCCAATTCTGTACCTTTATTGAGCCTCTTGAAAGAGGGCTGAAGAGATTGGGTCAAGATTCCACAAGGAGAAATGGGGAGGTAGAGCTGGAACCCAGCACCCTTTGCTAGGTTGGAAGATGAGCCCAATGTCGTGTGTCTAATGCCCATCAATCTTAATATCTGATGTGTTTATCCTCATAAAACACCAAGTGCCTTTGTGCTTCATTCTCACACATTTTCTGAGTTCCCTTACCAATAAGTCACAAGGAAAGGGCAATAAAAGGTGAATTTCCTGATAACCACTTGGTCTGTTTTGGATTGCTCCCTTCCTGGACAGTTCAGGAAGTGGGGGAGGTGGGGAATGGTCACAGTGGTGACACAGCAGATGAGCTTGTCGGGGGGAAGGGAGTTACGTAGTCACTAAACCCACTTTCTGGATCCTGGGATGAAAAACCACAAAGCCAGGCACTCTTTCAGTCTCACATCCTCGTGGCCTCTGTAACATTTTAATAAAGTGAGCATTCTGAAAGCAGGAAAACTCGCAGTGACCACAGCAGAAGCAGCCATGCCAGCTGACCCTCAAGCCTACCAGACATGGCCACCAGCCTGAGGATAGGCCTGGACACCCCTGGGCTTTTCTTTGACTACCAGCTTGTCTTCCTAGGTGTCTACTTTTTCTAAGATGTAACAAAGTGTAAATGAACTCAGGCTCTGAGAGCAGATAGAACTGTGCTCAAATTCCAGGCCCAATATTCAGTAGCTGTATGGCTGTGAGAAAATTACTAACTCTCTTCAAGACTCAGCTTACTCAGCTAGAAAATAGTGAGAAGAGGAATAACCATTTGCAGGGATCATTAGAGGAATTTAATGAGATAGTGTATGTCAGGGCTTAGCAATCTTAACTGCCAGTATCACTCCCCTCCTGCATTCACTAGGAGTTTCTATGTCTCCTTTGGAAACTATTTATTTGAGGCTGGAATATAAGAAGCCAACATGTATCCAATGTCTGGCACGAGCCTGTACTGTAACACGTGCTTTATAATTGCAATCTTACTCTCCACAACAATCCTGTGGGATAGCTATCATCATCATTATCATCATCATCGTCGTCATCATCATCGTCATCATCATCATCATCATCATCGTCAACATCATCATCGTCATCATCATCATCATCATCGTCATCATCATCATTATCGTCATCATCGTCATCATCATCATCGTCATCATCATCATCATCACCATCACATCATCACCATCATTGGATGAGAAAACCAATCCAAAGCTTAAGTGACTTACGGAAAACAACTAGTAAGCAAAACCAATCAACGAGAAGCCAGGGATATAGCCCATTGACTGTATCAGATCTCTTTCAAGGAGAAAAAACAGAGTGTTTTCCTTTCTTGAATATGCTACATGGCTTTCTACCACTTGTTGTAGAATGACAGCAGCAATGTTAGGGAGAGAGTAATTAAGGGGAAGTAACTTAATTTTGAAGTATAACCTTTTCATGCTGCAAAGATAGGCATAGGTATACAAAGATAGGCATGTATACACCATAACTGCACTGGAAAATTCACTTACTATGCCATTGTAAAGTGAGAAACTTAAAGTGTGCTGCTTAACAACAGGGTAACCTGTGTTAGAAGTTTTAAATACATGTAGGTTTTCACCTAGCTTCTTTGCTCGTAGTTCTGTCAATGCAAAATAATCAGACAAAGTATATTAAAAATGCTTGTGGCAGTCTTGTCTGTATTACCATAAGGAAAGATAAAGAGACAACAGAAGTTTCCAACTCTATGGAACTGATTAAAACAAATTCTGGACTACTACACAGTTATTAAAAATAATTTATCATTAAAAATGACATTGTAACTCAGATATTCTTAAAGATATTTTAAATAAAATGTGAAGAAATGGTTCATAAAGTATGATAACACTTATAAAATTACATTTATAAACTGTATTTAAAATGATGACATTCTGGAAGAATCTGTATTAACAGTGATTTTCCTTCAGTTGATAGAATTATAGAATATGCTTATTGTTTAATTTCTGCATATTTATATTTCTTTTTTTTTTTTTTTGAAAAACAGTGTTGCCCAGGTTGGAGTGGTGTGACATGATTATTGATCACTGATGCCTTGAACTTCTGAACTCAAATAATCCTCCTGCCTCAGCTTTCCTAGTAGGTGGGACCACAGGCATGCACCGCCAGGCCAGGCTGATTTATTTGTTTAGTTTTTTATAGGGATGACATCTTGCTTTGTTGCCCAGGCTGGTCTCTAACTCCTCAAGTAATCCTCCCACTTTGACCTCCCAAAGAACTAGGGTTACAGGCATGAGCCACGACACCTGTCCATTACCTATATTTCTAAGAAGTTTTTTTGAAAAATACATCTTTCTTCCTTTTTTCTTTCTTTCTTCTTTCTTTCTTTTCTGTCTCTTTCTTTCTTTCTTTTCCTTTGTTTCCTTCCTTCCTTCCTTCCTTCCTTCCTTCCTTCCTTCCTTCTAGACAAAGTTTCACTCATCATCCAGGCAGGAGTACAGTGGCACGATCTCAGCTTACTGCAACTTCTGTCTCCTGGGTTCAAGTGATTCTCCTGCCTCAACCTCCCAAGTAGCTGAAATGACAAGCACTCGCCACCACCCCCAGCTAATTTTGTATTTTTAGTAGAGACAGGGTTTCACCATGTTGGTCAGGCAGGTTTCAAACTCCTGACCTCATGTGATCCACCCTCCTTGGCCTCCCAAAGTGCTGAGATTACATGTGTGAGCCACCACGCCTGGCCGTGTTACTTTTATAATAAGAAAGCCGTAATCTTTTAAAAAATCATAACTCATATATTATACCAAATACATGCTCTCCGGTTAAACTTCCTTTTTTCTTGCTATTATCTTGTGTCACCTAAGAAAGTCCAAATAGCACTTTATAAACCACAGTGCCCTTGTTTAAGGTCAAGCTGTTTTCTAAGAATTCTGTACCTAAAGACCCAGTTTGGAAACGTAGAGGGATTTCTAAGCCCTGCTCCCACCTGGGCCTGGGACTGCCTTCTGCAGGTGTTGCCGCAGACAGGGTCATGTCCTAACATTTCCTCCACCACCGTGCACCCCCATTCTCAAGATTCTGTGACTTGTACCCCATCGCTCTTCCTTCTTCCTCTCTCCTCCATGACAACATTATGCTCTCTCACCTCTACTCTTTCCCTATCCTAACTCAAGGTGCTTTCAGACAATACACGGTCACATCAAAACACATCATTGAATGACCCTTTTGTTTTCCCTGTTCCAATGTCTGCAGTGCACTCCAGCCTCCAATTGTGCGAGCATAGGAGTTATCGTCTCAACTCCTGTCTTCTCACTGTGGGCTGACAAAAGGAAGGTATCCTCTTCGTAATAAGAGAAGGGATAACAAATTTCCAGTCTTCTGGGGATCAGGGAATAGGGGACAAAGATAGAAAATGGCTCTCTTCTAGACCACATACATTTTGGGAGCCCACCCACCCCTTTTTTTTTTGCAAGGAAATAATGGAAAATTGTGAAGCAGTATATTACTGCTGTAGTTCAGCTATGTTATAGGTTAAAGTAGTACTGGGAACGCACTCACCATTTTAAGTATGCTCCAAAAAATGACTTCCCATTAACTTTGGGTATACAATCTGTCCCTAAGGTTTAGACTATTTGGGCTTTGTTTGCTTCTCCTAATTAAAATTTTAAAAATGTATTTTCAAACCGAAAAAGTTCTTTTGTAAAATCTACCATGTTATCAAAATGGCAATCACCATCAGCAACATTTCCCAACCTTCGCCACTGGAGTCCTTTCCTGGGAGTCAAAGAGCTCATAACAGGAAGCTTGATTATATTACTGGGGCTGGCATCCAGCTATCATAAGAGGCAAAGACAAAGAATGCACATTTTCTTTCTTTAAGACAGTGCTCTTCCTCTATTCTGAAGGCTAGAATCAAAAAAAGGAACTCCAGAAGCCACGTCTCTCATTTGGCATGAAAAAGACTCAGCAGCTTCCTCAGCCCAAGGAAAAATGAGTAGCTGAGCAGAATCCCAAAGGCTCGTAGGACCTAGCTGTGAAGCACCCTCAACCCTGTCTGTTCTGTGCAGAGAGGAGTAGCACATTTGCCAGGAGACCAGGAAGAGTAATAAAATCTATTACTTACCATTTTGATTGAAGAGAGTTGATGTGTCCGACACACAATGACCACGAAGATGGTGTGGCTTGGAGAGTGAATGTGCAAGTTAGCTATGCAGAGTGTACTTCCTTTTCTGAGCTGTGTGGTCTATCCAGCTTTCACACACTGATATGTGAGGCTATATTTGCATGCTATCTCAACCCTTAGAGCATTTGTATAGCTGGCCAGGTTTACCATGTTATTATTTTTCAATAATACAGAGACAGGTATAGGTGTAGCTCTCAACTCTGAAAAATTGACACAAAATTTTTAGAAGCCCCTAGATATTAAATTTTGTTATACATTATTGATCTGTTTTTTATAACCTCTGTATTTTTGAATAAATACGTGTATATATGTGTGTGCATGTCTGTCTCTTCATCTCTCTATGAAGGACTCACACCAAAATTAATAGTGTTTGACGTGAGCGGATATATTATTACAAATAATTCCTTTTTCGTACTTTTTGGAGTTTTTCAAGTTTTCTATCTTGGGTATGTAGCACTTGTGTAAAAACATAGCTGTAATCATTATTAAAAAGAACAAAAGTATCATGATAATTTTAATGAACAACTCCAATTGTATTTAAATTCATATTACCAGTATTTAAATGATGAAAACACTCATAAGCTTATCATAGAATGTCATCCATTTCCATAAAAAAAAGTACAGCTCAATCTAGGTTCATGTGCTAATTTTGGTGTTAACATTTGTTAGCAACAGACATTAAGGGCAAAGGATTTGATCTCAATTAGTCAGACTTTCCAATCATCCATGTACCTTTGTAAACACATTCTGATATACAGCCTTCTACTAAAGTAGTTCAAGGGTGGAAGGTCATCTTTGTTTTCCATGGCAAAGGAAAGGCAGGATTCCTTTTTTGGTGGTTGCAAATTTCTAGATCTTGTTTTAAGTATTACAGTGCTTATTTAGCATAAGGTCACCAAATTTCTATACTTGATGATGATCAAACACTAATTACTCCTACATCCATACAAAATCGCTTTTCAAAAAAGATGTTACCTGTTATTTATTCCTTAAAATAGAAATGTTTTCAAAATTAAGACATAATCAGAAATGCAGACTCATACAACAGGCAAAAAGCCAGGGCAGAGGTTGAGTTCCAGAGGTAGAAACTGATACTGTCCTGAAAACTCTACATCTTATAAAGAGGGGTTTGAGCACGGTCAGAATCGGGCTGGATGGTCAGGAATCTGAAATTGCACAGTATCTTACACATAATAAATGCTTAATGAATAAATAGAGGAGGAAGATCAAAGCAAGACTAATGTATGGGAGCCAGGCATCTTTTTTGGTATAACACATTTTCTAGAATGCTTTGAAATGGAGACATTCTTTACCTTCACTAGAAAGCCTCTAATCTACTGTCTGTTGAAATAGAGATCATCACAGTGCAGATACATCTTAGGGTAAAGAGGACCACTCTAAAGCAATGGTTCTCAACCTAGCTGCACATTAAAATCACCTGGGATGTTTTAAATAGTCTCAGCTCCCAGGCCTCACCCCAGGTTATTATATGAAAATCTCTGGGACTGAAACCCAGGCACTGGTGTATTTCAAAGCTCCCCAGGTGATTCCAACGTACGTGCAAGTTTGAGAGCCTTTGCCTAAAAGAAGGAGCTGGTGACTCATACTAGCAAGATAGTGAACAGATCCCCAGGCCAGCCTTATGGGTAGAAATAATCCTGACACTCTGACACTGTTTACCACTAAGTTAATCAACATATTTTCCCTATGTGCTACATAAGAATTGCGTAATCTTTGTCATTCTATGATTTGCCCTCTATGCCAGTAAGTTGGACACAAATTACATGATAAACAGGAATCCAGCAATTATTCATTAACGGTGTAATTTATTGGGTAAGTCTCTGGTTAAGAGAATTTTGAATTTCAATTCATCCATCTGAATTCCATTTCGATTTGGGTTTATTTCCAAATGCAGATTAAGGTAATTTTTAGTTGTTATTGAAATAAATATAGTGGTCTTTCAAACACACATATATGAGAAAAGTATTATTTTCAACCCCACTCTCATGGGATTGCTTATTGCTTTTGCCATAAGAAAAAAAAAGTTAACAGTTGAAGCTCCCAATTATAACTTGTAGTCTACAAGTATATTTTCATATTTAGTTTTTAAAGCATAATCATGTTACTTTAAAAACATATGTCAAACATCACATATGTGAGTATATCTCCTGTGAAGGCAAACCTCAGTATGTAAGTTCCTGAGCAGGAAGGTGAAACAGGAAATGCAACAAAGATTACAGACAGCATAGCGATACCATCTAAAAATGATAAACCTATATTTTCGCAGTGTGGGCACTGCAATTATTCCTGCTAGTAGAAGGGAGGAGTAACTTAGACAATGCAAAAGTGATTATAATTCTTTAAATACGTGGGCATATACTCTTTTTTCATAAGTTTTTATTCTGAAAAACCGTTTTTGTTCAGGCAGTGGTGCAATCAATGAGTCTGCCCCGTCAGTACTCACTGAAGGCAGTGGCTAGGTGGAGTCTGTGAGGTCTAGAAGCATAGGGTGGCTAGGGAAAACCAACTTAATTTTTAAAGTCAGCTTGCAAGTAGATAAAGGAGAGAGTACTAATCAATTCTGAGTAATACTAATGATTATTACTGAAATGCACTGTCAGTGTTTTATCCATTAGGCTTTTTTTTTTTTTTTTTTTGAGATGGAGTCTTGCTCTGTCCCCCAGGCTGGAGTGCAGTGGCGCCATCTCAGTTCACGGCAACCTCTGCCTCCTGGGTTCAAGCAATTCTCTTGCTTCAGCCTCCTGAGTAGCTGAGACTATAGGCACGTGCCACCACACCTGGGTGATTTTTGTATTTTTAGTAGAGACAGGGTTTCATCATCTTGGCCAGGCTGGTCTTGAAATCCTGACCTCATGATCCACCCCCCTTGACCTCCCAAATCCTAATACCTGGGATTACAGGTATTAGGCCTTAAAAGAAGTATGGTTAATTGTTAGCATAGAAGGTTAGAAATAGCTATAAACTCCTCTGATACATTTTAATTTTTATAACTTAAATGTCTAACATTTTAGAGAAGAAACAAATAGTCATCGACTCTATGTGCCCAACAGTAATGTGCCTGGCTAAGACCCCTGAGATAGAACAGAGTCATGTTGAATCTCACCTTTTCCAAAAAGGCTTCCCTGCTGCCAACTCACTGATGTCCCCCTTTTTCTGGAAGCCTGCAGGCTGCAGTACAAAACCAAGCTCTTAATATGTTTGCCTTTTATGGTTCTCTAATTGCATTGTGTGTATTAGGTTGGAAACTACTCCAATGAGAATTAATTTTCATACTTTCTTTTCTCACTCTAAGATCTTAGGTCAGCTATTTTTAAACACTTTTTTTTTTTTTTTTTTTTGAGACGGAGTTTCGCTCTTGTTACCCAGGCTGGAGTGCAATGGCGCGATCTCGGCTCACCGCAACCTCCGCCTCCTGGGTTCAGGCAATTCTCCTGCCTCAGCCTCCTGAGTAGCTGGGATTACAGGCACGTGTCACCATGCCCAGCTAATTTTTTGTATTTTTAGTAGAGACAGGGTTTCACCATGTTGACCAGGATGGTCTTGATCTCTTGACCTCGTGATCCACCCGCCTCGGCCTCCCAAAGTGCTGGGATTACAGGCTTGAGCCACTGCACCCGGCTTTTTGTTTTGTCTCTTGAGTTCCTTTCAGAATCTGATGAAAGCAATGTACATTTTATACACCAGTTTTGCATGTGTACAACCTTCCTTGAAACCCATCATTTATGGGAAGTTATATGAGAGCCTTTGGCTAAAATATTGCCAAACACTAAGAGATGGTCATTACAATGCTGCTCTTTGATCATGAAATTAAAGCAAACTCACAAGCAGATTCATAAAAATTCAAGGAAATTCAGTCTCCCTGTTTGGCTAGATATGAAATAGCAAATGGGAAGTAGCAGGAAAAAGCAGAATAAGAACACGCATGCTTAAGGAGGCTATGCAGGAGGAAGTGGGCACTTCCTTGATTTGGGTTATTTCTCTTTCACTTTTTGTTTAAAAAACAAAGTGAACTTTTTCACTCCTGTACTTTCTACTTTTAATGAAAAGGGGTCTTAACTCTTTCAGAACATCAGTGCTCTGAAAGAAATAGCTTATTAATCAACTTACTTTTGGCAAAAAGGAGAGTTCCCACCACATTCTAATGGAATGAGAAAATTGCATTGAAACTCAAGAAAAGAAGGGAGCATTTGTCTTTACAATTTAAACCCAATTCCAGGTGAATGTTTACTACTCTAAAAATAATCTGCTAAAATAGGACAATGAAAAATTTAATCTAGACTTCACGTAAGGAGTTTTTATCAAACCAATTAACTTGGAGAGCAAAGAGACAAAGAATAACACAGAATAATTCTAGGTAATATATTACCTTGCTTCTTGTTTTTTGTAATTTTGTCCATTTTTTGTATCATACCCTCTCTTTGGGTTTTTGGGGGATGCATGAGCTCTGTGGGTCTGTTGGGTTCTGCTGTTTTCTTCTCATGACTTCTCACCTGTTTTGCCCTTGCATATGTTTCACAGAAGCAGAATCTAAGTCATAATCTTTTTGCTTCAACGGGTCTCAAAGACAAGATTTAACTGACACACACTCTCATGGGGTTGCTTATTGCTTTTGCCGTTTTGTTAATGATAATTTGCTCTTTAATGAATAAAATTAAAGTCCCACATGAAAAGTGGATCTATTTTTCATAAGTGGATCTATTTTTCATTTTCCTCCTTTTATTCTTTTTTCTTTCTTTTGTTCATTCTTCTTTCTTTCCTTCCTTCTTTCTTTCCTTTCCCACCTTCCCTTCCTTCCTTTCCTCCCTCTCTCCCTTTTTTCTTTCTTTCATTCATTCATTCTTTGTTTCTTTCTGTCTCTCTTTCTTAATGGGCCATTTGCTGCTCTTAGCATGATGGTAGGTAATGGGCATGAAGTAGAGGTGGAAGAACAAAGGCTAGGGGCCAAATATCTGTCACAAGACAGATATTTGACTGCCCTGTGAATTATGTGTGTGTATGTAAGAATTGTTTTATTAAGGAAAAATACAGAGCTAGCCTTTGATCAGCTCTCGTGAGAACTGACTCATCTATCACAAGGACAGCATAGGGGAACTGCCCTTATGATCCAATCACATTCCACGAGGTCCCTCCCTCAACACACCGGGATTACAATTTGAGATGATGTTTGGGTGGCGACACAGAGCCAGACCATATCATCTACCATTTTGGGCTGTTTTCATAAGTAACTATTGGGAGACTAATTTAGGAGATGCTACTGTTGGGTCCCACTACACAATCAAAAGGCCTTGCAGGAGAGACAATTGTGTAAAGCCAGGGTGAGAATGCTGACCTACACTTCGAACATTAGACAATAGGTGTATGTTGACTGTCTACTCTGTGATCAGCAGGATGAATAAGTGACCTGAATTTTGAGTATAAAAAGGGAAAAATGTAAAAATGTGGCAAGACTCCAATCTTCTTGTATCCATCAGGCTCTAGTGAACATAATACACATCCCACTTCTCTAACTTCTTTTGATACTGGCTTCTTTTGATAGTGATTTAGTATAATGATTCAACTTACTGGCCTGGGCTTCATAAGGATGTTGTCTCCGTCTGTCCCTTTCCTTGAAATTGGTGGTGCACCCCCTCAGACAGCATGTAGGGTAGGGGCCACCTATAATGTACTCCAACTGGGTGTACTAAGCTACATCACTTTCTCCAAACAACAGTCCATGCTGACCCATGCTAGGCCTGGTAGGTCCTCATGTCTCCCAATTTCTAGAGATTCTCCTTTAGTTTAGGCCTGGAGACTTTCATCTCTGTGTTGATTACTGTTGAGCAGTTTCTGGTGTCTCAATGGTGCTCCCTGCTGGAGAAGCTCTATCATCAGATGTACTACCTGTAGCAAGATGTTGGTGGATTCTTCATCAAGTGTGAACCTGGGCTATTCCTGCTATTCATTACCCTAGAAAGGACTCTGACAAATCATTAAGCTAGCCCTAAGGGGTCTGGGCAAGGCTCAGCTCTTTTATTGTTTGACATTTGTGCTTCCCAAGGGTGGAAGGAATTCTCAGGTGTTACTCTAATAACAGTCTGGAGCCAGATGCTCTCCATCAAAAACTCACACTCTCAATAGTGGATTGTTCAAGAACAGAGTTCAGCATTTATACACATATGACAAATCTTCTAATTCACACAGTGTTTTGAAGGGCAGGGGCCAGGCCTTTTCTTGAGCTCCCATGGCAAATGTAAGACTCTTAAGGGCTACGGCCGGTTTATTAGCATGATCTCCATATCATACCTAACATTAATGCATTCCACATCCAGTAATCTTTTTCTTTGCTATTTAAAAACAATCTTAAAAATTGTTTTTAAAATGTTGCTTTTGAAATTATTTTCATGTAGGTAATTTAGTCCGTGTTATCTCCCGTCAATCAAATGCATTCTTGATCATTTCCGCTAAGTGTAAAAAAGTTACATAATTTATAAATTTGTGAAATGTTTATTAATATTAACAATAAAGTTAACATGATACATGTTGATGTTTAAACGTATATTAATTTTGATTTTGCATTTTTCTTTTCGTATTTTGATATACTCTTTCTTTTTCTTTCTTTCTTTCAAGAGTTCTCAGACCTTTTCAAAAGATCTCAGACCCCTAAGTACCATGTTCTCTAATGGATAAGATTGCATAGCCACTGTTAATCAGCTTCTCAGGTAGGTAACCTTACCTTATACAATTCATAAGCTAGGTATTAAATTGGACCATATAAAATTGATGTTTTTTCCTTGTAAAATATGATCTAATGGAGGCAATTTCACATTATTTAATAGTTTATAGTCACTCAGTTGTGCTACTGAGCATATATTGTTCCTTTCATCTAACTGGATTTTTGCACCCATTAACCGTCTTGTCTTTCTCTCCCTTCCCTACTACGCTTCTAGCCTCTGGTAACTATCATTCTACTCTCTATCTCCCTGAGTTCAACATTTTTTAGTAAACTAGTAGTTTTTCGTTACAAATATAACACATTTCCCTTTTGACATATAGATTTAAATGGTAGCGCTAAGACTAGTAAAAGCAACTGCTGTGCAGGTGGCTGGTTCTCAGTATTTGCTGAATAAATGTATGCACACATAAGCAAATAACCAAACCAAACATAAAGATGTAAATAAAAGTTAAATTGTGTGGTACAGATGTGTGGTCATGGACCTGGCAGAATATGTTAACCATAAAAAGCAGTTTGACAATTACTTTGAAGTCTTTTAAACCAATATTCTGTTTTCGATTTAATTTTGTTTTGTTAGAAGAGATTGGCATTGCCTCTGGGAGAAAGCAGTTCTGGCATATTTCACTGTTGACTCCTCATTAGGGAATAAAAAAATGGAAAATCATAGGATTTTAAAGAAGAAAAATTAAAAAAGAATTAGAGACCTAAGAAAGTGGAGACTTCAGAGATTGGTAGGATTTTCATGAAGCCTTTCGCTATTTACTTGGCACAAAGACTATCTTCGGGGGCAGGATTTGAAACTGGAAGGTCCTGGTGTTCTTGTCTTCCACTGGAGCTGAGAGGAGCCAACAGCTCTATTCTTTGTGAGGGAAGGCTAGGGCTGGTAATTCTAGAGAAAACAAATGAGTATCAAGTATTAATCATCAATAGGATTTTACTTTGGA